GCCGTCAATCCTAAAGTCTGTAGAGTTCAGGGCTCAAGGTTTAGAGTTTAGGGCTGGGGCTTACTCTACATCTGCTGAATCATCTCCAGACCTTGCAGCCTTTAACCTCAAAGTCCGTGAAACAGGGTTTAGGGTTTAGGGGTTTAGGGTTTAGGTTTTAGGGTTTAGGGTGCCCTTAACATCCCTTAACCCAAGACTTTTGAACCGTTCCTAACCTTTGTCGTTACCGCGACTACGACCCGTATTAGATCCTAACATCCAACCCCAGCTTCGAAATGGGCTCATTAAAGCAGTCTTCTGGAATTCCAGGGCTGAGGGTTTCGGCTTAGGGTTTCTGTAAGGCCACTTGAAACAGGCCCTTAACGGGCACATACAAGCTTACCTACGGTTGGATTTCAGTTTTGGGTTTAGGATTCTCTGCTCTGGGGTGTAAAACGTTGCATTCAGGATTTGGGGTCGAGGGCTCGGGGCTTGAGATTTTTCCAGGCAGCCTCGACAGACGACGTGCTGGCGCCACAGCCCATCGCGCAAGCGACTCTGCAGATAAAGGGAAGGAAACAGCTGGAACCGACTCCCAAAGCAGTTGGACAAGGGTTTTGCTGAGGCCTGAGAAGGGTTTTGGGTATGGGTTTGGAAAAGGGCTTCTTGAGGCTTTTATTTGGTTAATATATATATATATATATATATATATGGGTTCAGTGAGGCTTATCAGGAAAGCGATGAAGTCTAGCAACGTGTATAAGCCGCTTTCCAATCGTGTTTTCACCGCTAAAGCTCCTGACCAATGATTGGTCATCCAAACAATCCTAAACCCTAAACAATCCCAAAGGGTCCAAAGTACATTTATAGTAGAATGTAGGGTTTCTATATTAGGAATTACTACTATGATTTGGGGAAGTATCCTCCACAACAGTACCTAGGACCCTTTGGGAATTCAGGGTCTATGGAGGGCCTGGACTCCTTGTCGGCTGCACTCCTTAGCCAATCCGTGCATCGCTTCGAGTTTTACAAGACTGTGGGTCTCCTGTCAGAGAGCCTGATACTTGTTACTTTAATACTGCTGATGGACAAAATCCTGCATGACCTTAAGGACCCTAAACTATGGGAATTATGGTAGATTCCTTATATTGGGTCATGCAGGATATAGTCCATCCACAGTATTATAGTCTTTGAGGCTCATACCAAAACCCTCAACCCTAAACCCTAAACCCAAATTTTACGCGGGTCTGGCCCTCGTAAACCGATGATCAGCCCTTCGCCCCCTCACCCTCCCACGAGAACAGGGGCCGATATGATCGGACTGAGATAAGCTATATGGGTAGTTGTCAAAATCCTGGTCCTTTTTTCAATCCCTGAATATTAGGTGCCGTATTATAATAGGGACCCAATAAGGGGACCACAATTTTGACAACCACTCATATGATAGTATGACTACAGGGGTTGTAAGAAGCCCGTGCGCATATTTCTTACCTCTGTAACTGTAGCAGGCCCAGATTCCTGCTACTTGTATCCCTATGCTTGCTCAACTATAGGGGCCACGATTGGTGGAATGCAGCTTCGGCTCATGACAGCTCGGGAAGCTTGCTTAGCTGGAGAGAGGAACCTACAACCGCCCTCGTACGAAGCACACAAGCTCAACACCGTAAACCCTAAATCCTAAACTCGAGACCCGAAATCTAGAGCCCTAAACCCTTACAGAAGAGGGTTTAGGGTTTAGACTGTTTTTCTACCGTTTCGAGGACTTATGTAAGGAATTCATACTAAGGAACCCTCAAGAGGTATATTCAGGGTTTAGGTTTAGAGTTTAGATGGCTGCGAGTTTCGGGGTTGTGATTCGCCTGAACCCCAAATGCCCGACGTGGTTTCTTTCCCTAGTCTGTGGTCTGTCGGGTAGGGTCCCTGTAGTTGTATGAAACCCTGCAAGACATTCGGTTGTGGTTGTTTAATCTTACAGTAGAAGCCAGAAAGTTGGAAAATCATTATCGTAACCCCTTTAAGGTAAATAATAGGGGACCCTATCATTAATCCATATTCCAACTTTCCGGAGTTCCCTGCAGAGTAAGCCCTCCAAAGATCTTCGTTGCATGGAGCATCCGTTCGTGGAGGCGGGCTGACTTGGTTTAGGGTTTAGGGTTTAGGGACTTGGCTTGCCTTTTTTTCTCTGCTGTGCTGCCAGCCCCTCTGCCCCTGCCATGCGAAGCTGGGGCAAAGGAGCTGGGGGTTTTGGAGAGCTCTTTGTGGCGCAGGAGGCCACACAGTTGAGGAGGAGCTTCCGGCTTAGAGTTTACCCTAAGGGTCCAAAGGGCCCATAATCGGGTACTCGGGTGTCGGATAGTAGTGAAGGTTAGCAAGTGGGAGAGGAAATGACGATCAGGCAGTTGGACCCTTACAGAGTTAGAAGGTCTAGTCTAGAATCTAGAAAACTGCTCACAAGCTCATAATCACAGGCCCCGAATAAGACCACCCACAAGCTTCAAATTGCCCAAAGAAGATACTATGTCTGGCTTTCGGACCAGAATCAGGTACCTGGACTCTTGGCATACCGCAAGAACTCGCAAGCCGGTATAACTCCTCAGCCCAACGGCCCCGGTGTTGACAGGGCTTATCATCTCTACACCGACAAGCGGAGCAGGAAATCGCGGGGCCTGAAGGGGCTATCCTCGCAACATCCAAGAAGAGCTTCGCTCTCAGGGGCTGAGAAATTAGGGTTTCGGGGTTTCAGACAAGGTAGGAGTTTCACAAACATAGGGACCAACGCCCTCAACTACCGTTTGGGGTTTAGGGTCCCTAAACTGCAAACTCTACAAATCCCTGAGGACGAAACCATGCACCCCTATAGAGACCGAGCGTCTATGAATCAGAAACTGAATCCTCCAGGAGCCGCTAACCTGGTCTAGAGGCTATAGCCCAAAGGGTCCTAGGTACTGTTATGGGGGATACTTCCCCAATTCATAAGATTAATTCCTAATATAGAAACCCTACATTCTACTATAAAGGTAATTACTTTGGACCATTTGGGTAGAACTATATTATAAAAGTAGACATAAACACGCAGACATACATATACACACACACAGGTACACAAATGCATACATGAATACATGCGTGGACGCTTACATGCGTGTATGTGCGTATGTACATATTATCGTACGTATGGGTGCATGTATGTATGTGAATGTGTATGTATGCATGCATGCATGCGCGACTGAAGCATGCAGTCTAGCTCAACTTGCCAACGACCTCGATGCGCTAAGTATGTGATTCTCCACGCGTGAATATGAAGGAGGGCTTCAGATTGCTATAATGATTAATAAGGCTGTCAGGGGCCACGATTGAGATTCTCTAAGTCTCTAAGTGCACCCAGGCGAAGCTCATTTCCCAAACCGCTGCAGCATCAAAGCACCGCAGCATGACAAAGGCAGAAGATGACTCAGATAGGGTCTGCCCTTAAATCCAACTCCCTCTTGGGAGTTCCTCTTATTCGAGGAGCTACCTTGGAAAGGGACTTTGATTCGATTTAGAACAGCCCTCCGAAAGGTCAGGGTTGAGGGTTTAGGACGAAAGGTCCGGCACAGAGAAATGCCAGTTGAAATTGGCTCGCTTCGCGAGGCCTTGTAGCGCAGCTCGTCCAACACCTACAGCCAATAGCCAAAACAGCACAAAACATGCTTCTAAAGCCCGGAATTTAATGGTTTATGGCAGTGACACTGAGCCCCCTAAACCCTAAACCCTAAATTCTAAACCCTAAACCGTCAGCAAAGACGGAAACTCAGGCAAAAGACAGAGGTCGACCCGGATGAAGAGGGTTTACCATAGATTTGCCACGATGACGACGAAGGTCATGTACGTGGGTGGTGGTCCCTTGTTAAGGGCCCCAAACTACTCCGGCACCCCTATAAAACATAGGACCTTCAACGGGACCCAGTTTAGAGAACTACCCATATCGAAACTGAAGACGGGCTTGGGATGGCATGGGGTTCAGGGCGGACCTGCGGGTTTGGTCTACAGATTGCGCAGGTGCTGGATTCATCTGCGAGTCGAATTCATGCGGGCCATTGCGACAGTTGGCACAGTGCAAAGGAGATGCCAATGCCGTGGTAAGACCAGTGGCCGTGCCAGTGCACTTGAGAAAATGAATAAAGATCAAACTGATTGCAAAATATCGAGATAGACTGCTGGGATGGAATCACCAGCGAGCACAGTTGCCCGGAAAGTCGACGAGTGGCTTGCCTAATATCTGCAGGGGCGGCTGAAGTGCCATTCCTGCTCATGGCAAGCGTGCAAAGTGCGTCGATGGGTGTGCCGATGTCTGCTACATCTACTTGTCGGGTATCATGCAAAACTAAAGGTTACCCTTTTGGGGGTATATAGGGAATATATAGGGACTAAACTAATTACCCGAAAAAGGTTACCTACGAGGTACATCTACCTATCCTACACAATCAAGCTTCAAAGCTTCCAGCCGTCTAGAAATTCTTATCTATAACTGTATAACTGAGAAATGTGGAAGTGCGCACTCGCCTACACAGTCAAGTCTGTGATGAAACAAAAACGAACAAGCAAAATACCAGAAATACCTCGGCAAGCAGACATTGATAGCCGTATTGTATACATATGTACATACATAATACATGCATACATACGTATCCCTTGCATGCAACCATGCGCGCAATCATGTATGCACTGCATGCATTACAACCATACAATACATACATGCATGCATACATACATTACATTACTTTATATTACATTAGTGCATTTCATGGCATTCCATTAATACATGCATACATATATTACATTACTTTCGTACATACAGACGTACAGACATACAGACATGCAGGCATACAGGCACACAAACATACAGAAATGCATGCATACACATGTATACGAATATATACACGCACACTACCATGAAGTCTGCACATATTCGACAAACACTGACACTGTATTTACACATATTTGTACATAGAAGGCATGCATACGCACTGTCTACCGGCACACTAGAAATCCGTGGCATGTACAACATTTGGCGGGGTGTCGAATCCCTCGCTCTGGGTGTCGGTGATTTGATGCCGCATCGCCAACGCCAAAGTATCTGCTTGGAGTCCATCGGAGAATTCCCAAGCCACCACCTTACTTCTGCTAGAGTTGGGGAGTTGGGGTGGAGAAATCAAGCTTGAATTGAATACGGGGACGATATGAAATTCCTCTATGATAGCCCAGCAGCTGCGATCGCCCTCTTTGGCTTGTTAACTGCAGCCTTGCGGGAGGTCTCGGTGGCCAGCGACGCCGACTTGGACTTGGAGCTGAGGTTCACCTAAATGCTCCCCCAGAAAGCACATAAGCAAAAATAATAGGATAGGGATATCCCATATAAACCCCCTTATGATGAAGCCCAATAATAATTAAGGTAGGGACATCCCTATAAAATGCTTATGCTTATGTGCTTCTTGGGTCCCTGACTAAAGTTTAGAGTTTAGGGCTCACGGTTCACCTAAATACAAGGGCGACGAGGGGTGTAGGATTTAAGAATAGGGTTTAAGGCTGGTCTAAGGCTTACGGCTTATGGGGCTTAATTAAGGTTTAAGCTTTAGGGTTGGCGTAGGCCTAACGTTTAGAGCTTCGGCCTTAAGGATCCTTCAGGCCTAGGGCTTAGGGTTTAGGGACCAGCACCAACAAAAAAACACAACCACAACCACAACAACAGCCGGTTAAGACTTCGACACTGCTCGCGTCGCACATGCAGTGCGAGTTCAGTACAAAGAGAATGGAGTCAATACGGACCGGAAGGGCACACATCCAACAAAACAAAACCTCAACGCACACACCTGGGTCGTAAATGAGATGTCCGTGTACTAGTACCCACGGCATAGCTCGTCAAACACCGCAGGTCATCTTCGAGCTTTGTACACTGTAGCCTGAGGTTCAAGGCTAGCCCCGACAAGCCTGACGTGGTCTGCAAAAACTAGGATGCCCAGTAACCTAGGAATAAAAAGGGTGCTATAAGGGTTCCTTTAAGGGATCAAAAGGGGTTTAGGGTTTAGGGAAGACGGACCCCAGAGGAACCAAGGAATGAAAAGGGCTCCCTTTTTGGTATTGGGTAACTTTTTCGGGAACCTAGGACAACAAAAAGGGAATAAGGGTGCCACTGGGCATACTAGAAAACCTGCTCGAGTCGGGATTGGGTTCGAAGAACATGACAGACACGAGGCAACATAACCTGATTTGAATGATTACCGAAGACCCTAAACCCTAAACCCATATTCCCTAAACCCTGAGCATTGAGAAATTAAACCTATCGTTCTTACGTGAAGGACCCCTGCACAGTGCGTGACCCTTGCAGCAAAGAGAAGTCCAACTGAATACCTTCAAAACCACACCCAAAACCTGCAAGGGCCAGAGCAGAAATGGGGGCTTCCGAAAACTAGGGGTACCTCATCTTGGGGTTCTGATAATAAGGCTCCTACTATTTACGGGACTATATGAGGATCCCCAATCTTCGGAAACTCCCAAATGGATTGCATTTCCTAACCCCAGCTGCTCTCTGAATTCGAGACTCTGAGGCATTGGCAGAGTGTGCTTCCCTCTGCCGCCTTTTGTTCCAGACCTGCTGCCGTGGGACCCTACAAGCTTTCTTGCCATCCGACCACCCGAGAGCCATTGATGTTCATGTATGTACGGTTGATGATATAAATCCTGCATTACCTGAAGGACCCTAAACTATGGGAATTATGGAATATTCCTGATAATGGGTCATGCAGGATTTAGAGCAGCAGCCGTAGTACAAGACCCTAGAGGCAGGAATCTTTTCAACGCAGAGATCTGAGCCAGACAGGTTCCTGCAGCGTCCTCCTCTGCTAGCCCCACCCAAACCCTTCTCGCAGACTCTAGACCCTACCTGGACCCCAAAAGTATGTAGAATAATAGCCTTTATAGGGTTTTGGGCCATTATTTAACCTACTTTTGGGGGTTTAGGTAGTGGTCCTGCAAGGGAACCTCCGGTCTCTCCTGCCTCAGATCCATGTGTCGAACACTGAAACCCCCCTCGATGGAGTTTACCCTCATCCCAAAGGGTCCAAGTATCATTATGGTATATACTTAGACCCCCGAAATACCCTATAAGTATGTACCATAATGATACTTGGACCCTTTGGGAATTAAGAGTCTTGCGGACTTCAAGACCCAAGGTAAGGGCCTAGCGTGGAAGCTTACTGTCTGAAGCGCCAGTCCTGAAGTCCCAACCCGGAGTTCGCTTCAGGCTCGGAAACTTCGCATGGAAGTAGGTTCGAGGTAATTACCCAAAGGGTCCAAAGTACCTTTATAGTAAAATGTAGGGTTTCTATATTAGGAATTGCTACTATGATTTGGGGAAGTACCCCCCATAACAGTACCTAGGACCCTCTGGGTTACAGAGCATAGGTCAGAGAACACCAATTCGGGTAGAGACAAGCATATTAACAGGCACCCTGGCACTTTACGAGAGACAGTGTGAGAACTGACAAGCACAGGGTCTTCGCCGAAGCACCTGCGCGATGGGTACCACGTTGAGCGTGTCATCGGCAAAGACTTTCGCGGAGGCCGGGTTGGTTGTGCTAGCACCACACCTCGAAAATGCTCTCAGGTTTACCCCAAGGTCCGTGTACCCAACTAGTGTACTAATAAATAAATATATATATATATATATATATATATATATATATATATATATAAATATATATATATATATATATATACCTGGCCCCACAGCTACCTTGCGGCAAAACAAGTATGCCAACACAAGCGTTATCGCCAGTGTCATCACCAACATCGCCACCCTTATAGCCGACACTGACAGGTCTAAAACCAAACCATGCGTTGTTCAAGAACTTCTTAAACCCCAGACCCTTTGAAGCCAAAGCAATCCTCAGGGCTCCAGTTACCTAAATAGTAGCTACTAACCATTTTAACAGTAACCTACTATTTGGGTAATTGGAGCCCGAGGCAATCCTAAACCCGTAACCTTGGAGCCAAGGCACCCCATGGCGTCGGGGGTTCGACAAGCTCCGCAAGCTTCTCTGCTGCTACCGGGAGCCAAAAGAGCTGGCCCGGAAACCAGGAGTTGGGTCTTCTTGGGCTTAGGCCTCAGCACTCCATGCAACCAGATATTATATAGTATAAACTTTAGCATGAAAGCGCCTTTCTAGGGCATACTTGAAGGCCAAGTGGGCCTGCGGCAAGAACTATACGAAATAGCAGAGCTTGCAAGGGTGATAGACATCCCAGGACCCAGACCCAAAGCCCTTAACCCTGAAAGCCAAATGCCCTCAACCCCAATTAAGGGATATTGGACTTGCCGCATGCTAGCGTGAGTCCGTTGTAGCAACATGTTCTTACCATAATGCTGAATCCGTGAGTGTCGTTCGTTAGTAGCGCTCCCTCGTGGTTTAGGGGGTTTAGGGAGTTTCGATTTTTTTTTTTTTTTTGTCGCTCCTTTTCTCCTGCAACACAAGGTGAGGGTTTAGGGCTTCAGGGTTTAGGGGTTTAGAGTTTGGGGTTGCGAATCTTCGCAGCTGAGGGTTTCATGATTAGAGGTCACGTTGAGGGAATGCAGGGTAGCTCCCTTGGTCGGCTGCACCAAACCCTGAACCATGCTCGCTCCTTCCGTCAGCCATTAAGTCCTGCAAAGGGAGTTTCCGAAACCAGGGGACCCCAATATAGTACCCTAACTGGTAGGACCCTTGCTCTAAGGACCCAAAAACAGGTACCCCCATTTTGCGGAACCCCCCCCCCCATAGATCATGACAACGCTAGCCGCCGCCAAACCCCAAACTCAAACTCAGATCAATGAGCTTCAAAAGTAGATTTCAAGATACGGCGATGATATGAATCCTGCGTTGCCCAGAATAGGAATAAACCCAAAATTCCCATACTCCAGCGTCATAAAGTTTATGCAGGATTTATATCATCAACCCCCTCAGCCCTACACCCGAAAACCCTCAGCCCTACCATCTCAGGCGGGAGCGAACTAGCTCGTCGACCGTCTCAGCGTCCATGCTTTCCACGTCTAAGCCTGCGGCCCAAACGATCTCACTTGGGCTGAAAATCACGGCCGCCACAGGAACACCTTTACAGGAACCCTATTCTGATCATTAATGCCCCTATGCTAGAGTGCTCTTACAGATCCCTGAAAGAACCCTTAAAGGAGCCTTTAATTCAAGGAGCCCCTAAAGGAACCCTTAAAGGAGCAACGTTTTATGCCTTGCAGACAAAGTGGCCAATGTAACTACAAAATTAAGGGAGCTCCCTGCCGTGGAATGGTAGGTATGTATGTATGTGTATATATATATATATATATGTATGTATAGATGTGTCTAAATATGTGGGTAGGTAGTCATAAAAACTTACATACACCCTAAACCCCTAAAACCCTGCACGCCTAAATCCTAAACCCTCTGTAGCATTGCTGGCACCCCCCGAAACCCAAATCGCAACAGTGGAAGCCCATGACTCCCTAAGGCGCCAAAGCCCAAACGCATCCTCCCACAGGGTCCAAAGTACCTCTATGGTAGAATGTAGGGTTTCTATATTGGGAATTACTATTGTTATTTGGGCAAATATCCCCACATAAGAGTAAGTTCAACAAAGGAACCCTTAAAGGGAACCCTATAGATCCCCGCTTAAAGTATCCCCCATAAAAGTATTGTTGTTCGGGGAAAGATGCCCCCATACTGTTGATGTACAAAATCCTGCATGACCTTCAGGACCCTAAACTATGGGAATTATGGTATATTCCTTATACTGGGTCATGCAGGATATTGTCCATCCACAGTAACAGTACCTAGGACCCTTTGGGCCTCTAGGGGCCCAAAAGCCTTGGTGTTTCGGGTTTGTGTCATGTAACCCTTAGGCTCTAAGGACTCATATAGTATAGGGTTCCCTTAAAGGGGATCCATAAGGGGTCCTTTAAAGGGATCTATAGGGCTTAGGGATCCAAGGACTCAAATTTCTTTCATGCTTTTGAGCCCAAAGACTATACTATACAAGGCTTTGGGGCAATTTTGCGCCTGAGGGCAAGGGTCTCACGGTTAAAGCTCTTGGTGTGCCTCCTAACCCTAAATCCCAGCACGCGTAAGCTTGGTCCTAAGTATCAAGGCCCCTAGATTAGTCGAACCCCAAACCCCAAAGCCACAACACCCTAAAACCCAAAGCCCTGAAACCCAGGACCGCAAACGTAACGGGTGTGTAGGGCCTAGGGCTAGTTTCAAGGCTTACAACACTCTCGCCCTCCTAACCCATACCTTAACCCTGCATAACCTACCTTTTTTCGGGTTCCTTATCATAATTCCCTTTTCTACAAGTCCTTACACAGGTAGGTTATTCCGGGTTTAGGTAAAGCCTAACCTTATAGACCCCTGTGAAGCCGATTGAAATCCCCGACCCGGCCGTCACCAAACAACTCCTGCTCGGACCGGTTTGCAGCGAAGACTGCACCACCCAGTCCAAGGGCCTTGCGCTATCCCAAGGGTCCATGCTAACAAGTAGTATATACTTTGGCCTTAAAGTGGTCTATCTAGAGATACTTTGGGGCCAAAGTATATACAATATGGGCACATGGACCCTTAGGGTTCTTTGAGTTTAGGACAGATTAGGGTTTGCGGCTTGGGGTTTGAGCGTCTGCCGGGCTACCCTGTTATCCTAAATACAAGAAGTTGTCCAACAGAAGGCGACAGTCCAGGGTTTCAGATGATAGCGCAACCTCATGGTTTGGGCTTCCGGGATGTTGAGCTTGACGGATTTTGGGTCCATATTTCAGTAAGCCCTGCCACCCAAACTGTACAGAAATGGAAACTTCATTACAACACCTGGAACGATTTTATAGCGTACGATAGTCAGCAATGTTAATGTTGTCGTGATCGCGCTTGGTTCTGTTGCCTGGTGCCACGACCCTATGCAGCTGAACAGCCCGAAGAGCTACCCCCATCCAAAACGGAAAACTTTTCGAGTGATAGAAGGGTCAGAAGAATCAGTAATGCTGCTTCCTTTAGTCCCCTACCGTTCGACCGTAATAAACCCTATTCTATTCTTAAGGCCGCTACATTACCTCACTGGACACCCCAGCCCATGTGTTCCCGTGGATTTTAGACAAGCGCTCAAAGGTTTAGGGCTGATAGGGTTGAAGGGTTTAGGGCTCAGGGTTTAGGGCTCAGGGTTTAGGGTTCAGGGGTTTAGGGTTTAGGGGCAGGGTTAAGGGTTTAGGGGTTTAGGGTTTAGGCTTTGGGTTTAGAGTTGAAGGCCTAGGGAGACTACCAACCGTCTCACATGCATGATATAAGTTATACGTAAGCTAGAAGTACTTGTAAGCATAGCTGCCTCACTTACAACTTACGGCCTTTAAGTAGCGACTCTAAACGCCACCCACAAGATGTAAAGACCCATCAACCTCCATAGAGAACAGCAGCCCGTAAAATCCATTGCGACGGTCCATCAGGGACCCGGGCGATGTTCTCCCAGACCGTCGCCGAAAAGAGGCGAGGCTCTTGCGGAACGACCTCGGGTAGACCGGGATTTGGGCGGTTTCGGGTTCAGGGGGTTGAAGGGTTGAGAGCTTAGGGATTCAGGGATGTAGGGATCCAGAGGTGCATAGTTTTGGGGCTCACTTCGGGCCGGATGGGGTTCATGATGGATCAGGGGCGCCTGCGGATGCTGCAGGGCTTTCAGGATGGTACAACATCTGTAACAAAACATGTGGACTACAGCTGAATATCGTCAACACAGGCTAATTGAATATCATTCCTAATTTAGGCCGACCGCAAGAGTTGGGCCCATGAGCCCATGTGATCTTGGGGAAACAGACCTTGGAGATGGCACATCGAACCGACTTGAAAAATATCCGAAGCAGCCGAAGCGAATCACATGGTTCAGGTCTATGAGTGTTCTATGCTAGGATTGAGGGCTTGATCGGTTTAGAATTTAGGAATTTATGATTTGGGGTCTAGGGCTTGATCGGCTTAGGATTTGGGTTTGAAGTTTGGGGTTTGAGCCTGAGGTTCTGGACCCAAGTAGAGACTATGACTTCCCCGGCTTTGGACTCGTTTGAGCATTGCTTGGTGCTTCGTCTGAAACTCTGCAAAGCTGTGAAGAGGACTAGGCGTTCACCTCTTTGTTGCATACAGTGCTCCCATGTAGTAGAGGCACTGAAAACCCTTCCTCCCTCCAACCCGCCCACCTGAAAGTTGGAAAATCATAGACCTCTGCCGTTGGTCTCCATTCTAGTTCCTTTTTCTGGTTTAACCAGTCTCGTATTTAGGATCCTATAAAGCAACCCAAAGCGGGAACTACAATGGCGACTATAGCTACACCATCGTTCTTCAAAAGCCGGCGCCAGCAGATCCTGTTCTAGTCTAGAGTCGAGTATAGGATGGGCGGCCTCGTGCCTCCTCCACCTGTCTTACCGCTTGAGGGATAGCATGCTTTATGGCTAGGATCAAATACATCGGTATCATTCGAGATGGTAAAAAATAACAAAACAGAATGTAATGTAGTATACTATAACGTGATATAATCTGAGGTACGCGGAGATAATACACATGATTTTTTCTTGTACATGTATGAAAAAGGAACAAGCAAATAACATATACATATATATATATATATGTACATATAAATATATATATATATATATACACAAATACACACATATATATATATATATATATGTATATATATATATATATATATATATATATATATAATATATAGACAAACGGATAGATAGATCGGCCCTATAAGCGCTAAACCCTGTAAGCCCCGAGCTCTGCACTAAAAGCTGGGGTGCAAACGCCGAACAAAGAACGAAACCAGCGAGGATCGAGCTGATCGATGGGATGTCCTCAGATTCAGATTTCGGGAGGATCTGGAAAGTAGATCCCCTGATTTGGGCCCCTATACTACTAAGGGTACTTTATATAAACCCCCCTTAAAGGAATCTACTTTTTGGATCCTCCCGGGGGTCTGGGGAGTGAAGAAGGCTGCAGGGTGTAG